GGTCACCAGTTGGCAATTTTGAATCCAATCTGGAAAAAGCAATGGCGTACATCAAGCTCCCATAATGCCCTATGGCGTACATCAAGCTCCCATAATGCCCTATGGCGTACATCAAGCTCCCATAATGCCCTATGGCGTACATCAAGCTCCCATAATGCCCTATGGCGTACATCAAGCTCCCATAATGCCCTATGGCGTACATCAAGCTCCCATAATGCCCTATGTATGTACCAAGTTTGAACAAAATCCATCTGTAAACAGTCGAGATTTGTTGGTTTATTCATCTACGCTATGTTGATAATCTCATAAAATATATGAATCCAAACAGTGTTGCTATTGTTACCAAAGTTTATGACACATGCACACGCAGACACATACAATAGAGTTTGTCACACATTACACATGCATGCTGTTTTCACCTCGTGATGGTCCCATTCGAGTAGTTCCACTTTTAAGTCTTGGATGTACTGCTATGTGAGTCTGCCATTTGCACTCACAAGCGAAATGACCAGGACTGAATTTCATAGTGTCCATTAGATAGCCCTTGTTAGCTTGGTAGGAATCAACTAAATCTGAAAAAGAACACAAATATAAATTTAGTAAATCTACCTGTAATACAGTTAGTGGTGTGCCAATCTCAAAAGTGAATCCAACTGTTTTGGAGGTTCAGCCCTTTGATGCCACTCACAATTGACAATAAACTACTCATGTTTTGAAGTTCTGAATGATAATTTTGGATATTTTTAGCTTTTTGTTTGTTTGTATTTTCTCATTTGTTGCATCATTCTATCCTTCCTTAGGGTTGTTATGTATCACCACTTTAAGTTACAATATTGTCATGGCAATGAACGTGTTCCTATTTTTCACATCCAACCCAGTACTTGGGTTTGGACACCCAGCACTTGGATATGGAAGATGTAAAATAAAGTTATACAGCATGTACCAGGTATTTTACAGCAAACTATACCTTCTAGATCTGACTTGCTTCTTGGCATTCCACCTGGTAATGTCAAGAAATTATCCTGTTTCCAGGCATCTTCATCACTTTCAGCCACTAGTAACGGATTACAGATCCTTGTATCATTCAAATCCTGCAACAGCATCATCTGGAACACAGACAAAACTTTACATTGTATTAATCTACTAATTACAAATCAACTAATACAATGTACATAAATCTCTATTAAACAACATAGCTTGTCAACTGAACACATTCTCTATTTGTATTACAATGACAACATGCATTAAATAAGCACAGAATATGACATTGCAATTCAGAGGAAAAATAACACAGTTTAGCACTAGATATTTTAAGCAGAAATATTAATTCATAAAAAGTCCATAGCAATAACACACTGACTACTTGTTATACTAACTAATAGGCATGAATTGATTATTTATTATTGTGGTACATAGGAGCTTACTT